ATTCCTGCTCTTACAGTACTGGATATACATGAATAAAAGGATTATCGTAATTTAAGGAAGGGATCACGAAATTTTACAGTTTCAGCAAACATGTTTCAACAAAAATAATTTGTTCCAAAATTAAAACCATAATTTGTTATCAGATACAGACCAAACAATGACTCCTGTAAGCTATTTTAGTGATGTACTCAGGCAACAGAAAGTTACCATGTGGCAAATAATTGTACATCATCATAAACAAGATAAAATTAATCAGGATAAACAAGTCACGAACAACCATTGGACTAGCGCTTATAAAAATGATTATGACAGAAGAAATTAATGGACAATTCTTTGAAACAAAAACCTAATTTTTGGGGAGTCTGGGTAGTAGTTGGGTAGCAGTTTCACAATCTCTAGTTTCATAGAACATCTAAATGTTTTGGAGATTATTCAAATTATGTCCAAAAAAAAGGCTTGTGTGAGTAACACTCTGGGGTTAAGATTTTATCAGAGAGTCAGACACACTGTGAGAGTGTCATTTCTCTGTGTTTTCAGGCAGCAAGTACAATGAACAGTACCTGCAAATTGGATGAATATGTTTGGTTTCTTTTGAATTTCTTCTGAGCTATCATTACAACAGGCAAATGAAAGAAGAGAAGGTCTTGATTTGATTACTTGATCTTTGTGTTGGCCTTCCCTGACTAGCCTTAAGAAGGGGGAGACAAAAAAAACCACCCTAGGATAATATGAAATGCGCCTTTATTTACATGTAAGATTATGACTCTTACGAAACAAGGAATTAAGCAGACCACAGGTTACATGCAAACCACAGCAGTCATGCAACTATATGCTGTCTGCTTCCTAACCATCTCTCCCTGGCAAATAATGACAACAGAAACCTGAATTTTGTTCTATACAGCAAACGTACTCCTCAACCTTACCATTTTTACACTGAGTTTAAAAGAAAGCTAAAATGGACCTATGGAATTAATATAGGTATATGATGATGATAATATACCAGGAAAGATTATATAAGTAATAATGGTAACAGAGATGTGCTGTTCCTTTCAAGGGACTTACATGTTGAAGTCAAAACTGAAAACTAATAAATCAGTATACCAAGCTGCCAGTCTTTTGCTGGTGTTTGCATCACATTTATTATCGTGTTACCTAAATTAAGAGATTACCAGGACCCGGTGGAGTTCCTTCCTCACACTGGTTTGAGGCACGTAAAGCCAACAGTGATACACATCACCTCACAGGGTTGGCAACAACAGGAATAATCTCTGTGAAGTTTTGGGGTGAATGTTTCCATTTCCTTTTTCTTCTCTCCCTGCACCTCCCTGCCCCCAAAACATACAGACTGTTTCTGAAGTAACAACTTCAAAGCAGCCATGCACACAGCTCTTGGGTAAGAACTTGAGTGTTAAGAGTGGGAATGACTGGTCTTTTGAGCTACATTCAACACAACGCACAGAAGTGAAGCTGCTTTCAAGCTATTTTTCTATTAGAAGAAGGGGGCAATGACTGCCGTGGTCCCTAGTTCATACCTGAGTAACTCTCAGATCACTCTCGTTACAGGTGGCTACCGCTTACTCCTTCTATTCTACCAGTAGGAAACACCAGCCTAAAAGGAGGTCCCAGGCACCCCTCCTCTCCTCTTCAGGACGACAACAGCAGGCAGATGCATGGAGCCAGGCAGAGTGATGTACCAACTACACCAGCTCAGTGCCAGCTCAGGTTGTCTCAGAATTGGTCTGCATCATTCCAGTTGCAGACAGCAAGCATAATAAAAGACTGCACCTGTCCTTTAGCACTTAGTAGGAAACACTTCTGTTTTTCAGCTGGTTTCTGTTTTTTCGTGACAGCAATTTCATCAAGCAGAGAGCAATGTAAGTGGTGAAAAAGCAAGCATGTGGAAACAGTGATCACAGAATGAAAGCGCACTAGATCTTCCCTGCCTTCAAAATAATGAAAAAAATAAAAGCACGCAAAGCAACAACATTCAAAACTACCGCTTACTGTTGACGTCCCAACCCATCTAATTCATTTGTACTGCTCATCTGGTGTCTCATATCTACCTAACTGGAATGTTTTAATCATCCTGAATTTACTTCTGAAACCAATCAGATCACTCAGTCACGCCATGTGATACTACTTGCTGAGAACCACATGAGGTGAAAAAACAAAAACAATCACATTTGGAAGATGGATAAAGAAAACAGGAAGAGTTCTTCAATGGTCAGTCAAAAAGAGCATATCCAAGTACAGTATAGATTGCTATGGAGCTACTTCTTTAAAATAAAAACATTATGGTAATGAATTAATGGATTATGAAGGGAGCTTTTACAAAATATCATTTGGATTTAAACAAATGAGGATGTCACAGGAGTCTTAGAAACAAAAGGCAAAAGGAGAAGCAAACAGACATATGTAGAAGGACAGATTTGAACATGTCCCTTTTGTTGGTCACTGGCACGTTCAGTTTTATGGCCTTAAAACTGAAAGAACTTTTGGCATATCTGAAAGCAGCGATACTTTTTGAAAACTGAAGTTTGCCTGTTTATGCTATTATCTGAACCCCTGGGGACCCTTCAGCTTTCAGTGGAGTAAAACATGATACCAAGTACATGTGCAATTTGAATCCCACCAGACAGCTGTAGTAGCTGTGCAATCCACCATGAGTGTAAGGTTTCACTTAGGGGCTTGAGCTGGATTAACAGCTTGCCACTGCCTCCGGTAGGGCGAGCCTCTTCCTTCCTCCCATCCACCCATGCTCAGCGCGTGTCCTCAGCCAGCTCTCTGATCATCTGATCAGATAGTAAACAGGTTTAAATCAGTAAAAAAGAGCAGAAAACCAACCTGATCAAAAAAAAAAAAAAAAGAAAGAAAGAAAAAAAAGGAAAGTATTTGTTCCTGGGTTTAACCAGGTCATCTTGTGAACAAATGAGCAGTACTGGCAGATAGGAGGAGCAAGAGCCCCTCCTCGCCCCTCGACAGATTATACCTTTCTATGGGGAAAATAACCACATGAGGTTACAGGGTGCACGGAGAAACAGGATGAAAACTGCAAAAGTCCCAGATGAGATGTTCCTACGTGCAGCTGGAAGGAAGGGGGGAGGGCACAGCTGCAGTTGCTTCTTCACAAAATGAGAGCATGGATTTATTTGGAGGCTGTTGTTCTCAGGAGTCACCTAGGGGATACTAGGTAAGAGCTAGCATAAGAGCTCTCCCCAGCAGACAAACCTTTGAGCCTAATGTAGAATATTTCCAGCCTCAATGATGGAGTCTTTGGGCCTGAGCATCCTGGAAAGTTAGTGTACAATGAGGGAGGAATGAATTTATTTTCTGGATAGTAGGCACAAACTCTTTCTTTAAAGAGGAATCTTTAAATTTTATATTAGAAAGTTGATGAAGGATCAGCTATTGAATCCTCTGTATCAGCTACTACCAGCAAACCTTAGCAACTTATTTTGCTAACCAGTAAAGAAGGCAGGTTTAGCCTCTTCTGAGTGAATGTCTTTGATTTCACAACTCACAAAGCATTTACTGTAAAGACACTCAGTAGAACTTACAGTTCCTTTCCAGATTAGTATTCATAGGTGTATTTCATTAAATCTAGAAAGGTAGACAAGTTCAAAACTAGTTTTTGGAACCTTGTGAGTAATGATGTACTGTAAAAGATGGTCTAGTCAAAAAGTGAGGGTAAAGACACAAAGGTCAGATTAATAAGTAAGTAAATCAGACTTGAAGGTGACACTGTATTCTGCAATGCTTTTTAGAGTTTGGAATAGCTTTGGGCTACCTTATTTTGGTTATTTAAACAGAATTTCAGCACACTATTTCAGGTGAAATACAGTTGTTTCCTACACCTAGGCATCCTTTTGTGGTAAGGGAAATGTAGGTATGAATAAGTAATTTATCTTAATTTTTATTTTCACTGACCATATCTTGGAAGAATCCCTTCAAGTTTCTTTCTTAAATGGGAATTCAACGAACAGATGGAACAAATTTCACAATAAGCACAATAACCACGTCAGGTGTTGTTGCACCTTTTACCTGACAAGTCAAAACTGTAAGACATGCTAAGTGGCCGCATTGCTGTAAAAAAAGAAACAAAACAACAAAAAGAAAATGATTCAGCTATTAGAAAAGCAAAGGGGTAATGAAAACAAAAGATTAACTCCACTTGAGACATTTTGGATTCTGTTGCCTAAATCCAAAATGTGCCAGACATACTATTGCTTTACTGCAGTAAAGCTTGAAGTCTGAAAACTACAGTAGCATAAACGGGACTTGCAAACAGAGCAATTATAAACGTATTTGTATAGTTGTAGAATTAGATTTTTGGAATTCAATAAGTCAAATATCAAAACAAGAGGGAAGTATCTTAAAAATTGAATATTTTCAACTAAAATGCCATGAAAGAAAGAAAGGGGAGAGGGAAAAGAGAGAGGGGGAGAGGAGAGAAAGAGCTGGGAAAAAAATTGAAAGTACAAAGCCACATTTCACACAAGTTTCAGTGACCTGAAATAAAGATATTTCTAATTTCTTAAGCATAATCTCCAATGATTATAATTAAACTAATAAAGAGAGACACTCAAGCTAAGCTTGAGCAGTAGTTTCCTTGAAGAGGATGGAAAAAAGGACCGAACACAGTGTGATCTGTGCTGATTCTTGTTCTTTTTAAAAACCTTAGGTGGACTTAGCCTTTAATGTATCCATAATATTATCCTCTTCTTTCTGGGCCTCTAACCATTTTATTCCTAGATAAGAAAGTGGTCAGATGCTCTTTATTTCTGGAAAGACCTGTCTGTATTTCCAATTAAACAGTGTAATTCAGGGAGCAGACACTCAAAATATTTCTCAACTTTAAAGAAAATTTCAGTGCACTAATCCAAATAAGCAGGCCAAGCCCAGTGACAAGAATGCATCAAAACTGACATTGGCTTATCTGTCTTACTTGACAGGTGATAAACATGCAAGTTGGTTGGAAAGGGCCTGTCAGCCACACATACCACTGCATTAAAATATGTTTAAAAAAAGGGTGTGTTGGGACAAGTTTTGCTCATGAGTATAAATCTATGTGGTGAATGCAGTTGGTGGCTGACTCAGAGCCAAATTTGGGAGTCAGAGTATTTTTCCTGTAGTTCATTAACTAGACAACATCAGCCACAGATAACAACTACGGAAACAATATCTAAATCCCTGTCCAAACTTATCATAAAGGCAAATACATTTTAAAGCATAGGGGTGTTTATCATCTAATGCTGAGTCCTAACTGAAGGTTGATAAAAAACGTACATGAAACAAAGTTTTCTCCAAGCTCCATTAGCTCAACTTCCTTGAGTCACAGATCCATGCTTTTAATTAAAAGGACATGTACCTGTACGCATGTGTTGTGCAGAGCAGAAGGACAAAGCCTGTGGCTGCTGGGAAACACATGCCATAGGGTCCACCCAAATCGCAGAGGAGGATCGGCAAGAGTACAGCCCCCCTCACCCCAACAGTCAAGTGCAGTTGTGCTCTTGACTGCTATAAACTGAGCAACAAGGAATAACTCTGGGACATGTGCAACGTACCTTATACTCCCAAATATTTCACTCTAATGCTCTTTTTTTCCTTCCTTTTATTAGCAACAAGTATTTCTGTCCAGATGGTGCAAGTGTCCCACATGGTGGTTCTACCTAGATTTATAATCCATAAACCTCATTACCTTACATGTTGTTACACTAAATTACATTCAGTGGTCATCTAAACTATATGGCAGATCTATTTGTACCATACTGAATGTCACTAGCATTACTCCATTCCCAATTCTGCACAAACACATTTTATTCTAAAAGGAACTTTGGACATAACAATCATTTCAATGTGAGAAAGAACAAAACCTCCTATTTCAACGTAAGAAAAAATTATCTTCAAGGCCTTAGCTCTTTTTTCTTCTTCATGCCAGCAGCAAATAAACACTTGGGAAACAAAACTTGCATGCATCCTCTTTTCCATCTCCAGTAATATGGCATTTAATCCAAAGAATTCACTAGACTGAAGGGGAATTACTACAGTAGTAAAACTCAAAAATTTAATTCTTTAACAAAAAATGAAGAATTGGTAGAAGACAGGTATCCCTCATTGGAGGCTATGGCCTGAAATCAGCCCAGGAAGTCCTAACCATTAATACTCCAAAATTTAACATTGTTTTTAGAAACTGTTTACTAAATGGGTTTGATGTCGTCTATATCAGTTAGAAATTTTAAAGATCTATTAAATCAAATTTGCTGACCCTGAGAGAACGTGATAGTTCCCAGATGGAGAACATTTAGAATACTGAAGTTGAATGTTTGAAAGAAAAGTAAGAAATCGTTCTACATTTTTACAAGTTTCCTACATTTGGAAAAATGTCTAGGCCTATTAGAAACATTAGTTTATACAGCAAGCATAAACTGAATCCAAATCAGAAACTGGAAGGCCCAAAGAAACAAATGTTCAAAACATCATGCTTTTAAAAATGCACCCCAGCATTCACCATACTCTACTGAGCACTTCAAAAACAATGCAACAAAGCAAGACTGATGAAATTGTTTTCCTCCGGAGACAATGGGTTGTCACAACCCACTTGAATCTGGACCAGTGCCTTTAAGCACATGTGGCAAGCACAAATATTTTGCAAAAAATAGTAACAGGCAGTACATACATGGATTATTTCATGCTTTTTAGCCATAAAATGCTACTTTTGCTCTTCAAAAATCCAGCTAGCTCAGTTTTTCTGATATAGATAAATACCATGCTCAAAGAAATGTAAGTCACACTGTAAGACTATATTTGTCATGCTTTTGTCATCAGAACCATTCAACAAATGCACACTGGTGATCACTGGAAAGCATAGTATTTGTATAATTTCATAGTGGGTTGTTCAATATACACTGCAGAAATTAAATGCTTTGCAGTGCACGTGTGAATTATTTGCCTACTGAAAATATATACAAACATATGTTCCATAACTTAGAAAATGAAGCAAAGGTTTAGATTCAAAATAAAAGCAATAGATTCAGCAAACAAAATAAAAGGAGGTTTTAATTTAAAATAGGGAAGTTAATGATGCTAACAACAGGAAACAAAGAGAATAAAATAAACTAAAAACAGACACGTAAAGAATACTTGCAGATATGTAAGGAATATTGCACTGGGGAGAAGTAATTCCCATTCCATTCCGAGCAAATCTAACACTAACTGTCATGTGCAACAAGCAATATAATGCCATTAAAGTTATCCAATACTTACATTAAAAACTTGAAGGGAACCAAGCTGAACCATACAGTATTTTAATTTTAAATATAACTTAGCACAAAGATTGCACAGCCCTAGGAAAGCCTGTTGGTTCGTTCTTTTTCTGAAGGGATGAGAATAGTTTTAGCTTCTGTGACCTCTGCACAGATATCGCTAATGCTGCTGCTTCTTATGTGGGAATTTTTCTGTGGATGCTGCAGGTAAAAACCAGCAATGTGCTTACCCAGCCTGCTACGTCTTATCTCATCAGGCGAGACTGGACGTAACTTCCTCTCTGCCTTGATTTCCTCCAGTATCCTCTCATGAAGGCTGCGTGGCCGTGGTGGGGTTGGTTTCAGTTTTCTTGCCGAGGCCTTGGGATATAAAGATAATCATATTTACATAAAACAGGACTTCCTTGAAAGTAGATTTCACACTTTTTTGGAAAAAAGGTGGAACGTTGTGATATGACTTTACATGCACTCAACTGTAAAACTCACATAAATCGGAAAGAGGATTGTATTTTTCCCCAATTCATCATGATTTCCCAGAGTAAAGTGCTGCTGGTAATAACAGCTATTAACTGGTAAGGTTACAAACTGTTCTTTTACGAGATTGCATTCTGTATACAGAAGACAGTATTTTTGAAAGCCCATGTCAGAAAACACAATATTTAACATATTCCCTGGACAGAAACATGCTTTAAAAAGCCACATTTTTGTTAGGAGTGAAGCCCACTGGATTACATACAGGATTTAATGGAGGTCGCGATCGGATGAAATCCAGGATTATTTCATGGGCACTCTTTTTTAATCGAGGTGGAATGTCACCGTTGACCTGGAAAGGAGAAAGTGAAATATGTATTTCCGTGTTTTGCATTCATACTCATGCAGATGATGAGATCAGTTAAAAACTCACAACAACCCTGACAGAGCTTGCAGCGTTCTGACACCTGCACCAGACGTAGAGCCGCGCCAGCCCTGAGCAGAACAACAATCCATATGCAGAGCACAGGCAAGCAAAAACGTAGATAACAGCTTTTCAGCTTTGCAGATAGCTGCAGAATAACCATAACTGCAGCAGCTTTAATCAGCAATACTTAGCATTTTGAAATGATGAAATCAAATGTCACAGCTGCAATCATGCCTATGGGAGAATGCAGACAAAGACTGTATCTTGCTTGGAGGACAAGTTGCCAACCAACACCATTTTTAAGAACAACTGTTTGAACCATGTCTCACTGCCAATCATTACAGAGTCTCTAATACTCTGTGCTTAGTCTCTGAGAGTAAGTGCATGGATTTGCTTAAAAAAATCCACCTGTCAGGGTCAGTCTTCATTACAGCACAGTGCTCAAGCACACTGTCAGGGATGAGGGAGCATCCTGTGCCATACATCCTTCTGGTACCTTCTATTACTACACAGTAGCTGGTTATCAGCCCTGTCCTCCGACTTGACAGAAATTCCCATGACACTATATATCTTAGACCCAGTGTCCCAAATTTCAGCACTTTTTTTTTTTTTTTTAATTTTTCCTTTGACTTTTGTAAGGGTCAGTTGTCCCATTTTTCTTTGTGAGACTCTCTTCATACAAGCTCTGTAGCCAGAAAATACAGGTAAAGACACAGCTCTGGTTTGTCAAATCACATGCACTTTTGCTAACCAGAAGGAATGCTGCAGTCAGAAAAATGGGTTTAAATGCCCATAAGGTCACCTGAATATGATCCCTAATTGAACTTCGCTAATGCCATGCAGCTCCTGTAAAAGCTCTGCTCACCTCAGACATGCCCTCTGTCCAGGCTGAGGCAGAGCGACAGCCTCCCAGAGAAGATTCATCCCTTCTCTGATAAGGAAGTGGATGCAGAGTCCCTCCTGGGGAACATTTCATTGCTTTCCCGGGGACTCTTTCTGGAGCTATCCCACCCCAGGCACGGTCCAAATTCTATTTGTTCCCCCACCTCCTTAGCTTCCGTAGAGCGAACTTCATATAGCTTGGCAGACCTAGCTGCTAAACTCTGCAACATGCATCACCTTCCTAAAAATAGTGCAAAAAAATTAAAATTGAAAAGGTTTATATTAAACAGTGATTTGACATTTTATGATGAGGAGAATATTATTTTAGGTGGGCTGATTGATTTCTTCTGTTTAAAGACTGAGCAATTTTTTGAGGCCAGCATGCTTTGCAGGCTTGTTAATGAAATGAGAAGTCTCTCTTCTCCGAGCTACTGTTCATCAGATGTCAAAGTTGATAGCTGAAGTTGAGGGTTATTACCATCAGAACAGCCATTTTGTAAACTGATAATCTCCATTCCAGCCTTGGGGAACAACCCTCTGCATGACAATCGGAAATAAATAATACATGGCTCTGAGCCTTCCACCTCAGGGCACTCTACGCTCTGACTTAATGCCACCAGGGTATAATTAGTATCAGTATTCCCATTTGATCGGAAAAGGAGAAATGCAAGATTTGCTTAAGTGATTTTCCACAGGATACACAGGGAGCTGGTGGCAAAGCAAGTGGATGTTTTGCAGCCAACAAGCCAAGAGCAGGAGCGCCGGTGGCACAACCTACCTTCTCATACTTGGCGCCCAAACAAGGTACTGATATGAAAGACACTGAAGGGAAGCTTTCATCCTCTCTGTCCACACTAGATCTATTTCTTTACTCAAACTAGCTCTCTCTGTAATGAGCATTTTCACAGGCATCTTTTCCTTTTAGTTAATTAAAATTCATGGCTCTTGATTAAAGTCTAAATCAGAGATATACTGTACAGATGCAACCACGATACATGCAGGGGAAGAAAACCATCCAACAAAATGATATATATATTTTTTTGACATACCAGATTGGCCCCAACTGCAAACTAGTATTTAAATCAATACCTCAAAACACTGTAAAACTATCCAAAGTCTTGTTGTGTGTAAAACGGCTTTTGTACAGCAGTATGCATTAAAACTGGCAGTGTGAGGAAAGCATAACCAACAATTACAAAAATCAACCAGAAACTTAAAGATCTAAACAGCTAAAGCACAGAAAAATTAGCATGTAATCGTCTACTCACTCGCAACCTGCTACCATCACGTTTTAATATATAAATACAGATTTGCAGTTTAAAAAATAACTGCAAATGGTATTTAGTAACTTTTGGCTAATGCCTGAGCTTTAAAAATGGTGATCCCAAACAAGAACTACACTGCACAAGACTTTCACAAAAAATACATCACTTATCATTGACATTCAATTATCTCAGCTACTTATTTGCCTCACTATAAAAGGTGACAGCATTAAGTAGGAGAGTGTTATCTCTAAATATAGGCAACATGAAACTGATATTGTTTTGTACTACCTAGAAATTTTCATTTAAATGAAATTGCATGGACACTGAAACAAACAGAGGGGGAACGCTACATCATCTCCAGAACAGCTCGGCTCATGATAAAGTTCTGTTGTGAATTGAAGTATTGTAAGTAGATATATATTTGCCATCTTTCTTTATGCAGAGTGTAGTGCTTTTGTTAACATAGTTGTTACACAGCGCGTATTTGACGCCATGCAGCAAGCTCAAGCAGCAGTGTCCCAAGAATCAAGTGCTTCAGTACTTCACATCATAAGCCACTGTGTTCACACTGCTGTTGCTGCACATCTATTATAGATAGAAGTTTATGATACCAAATGATGACCATACTACTTACACAGAGTCAATCCTTCTTTGAACACCCCTAAAGCATGATTACGGAGTGTAAAGCTCGCTGCTCTACCTGGGATGACTCCTAAACTTCTGCAGAAACATGTAATGAAGGCGGACACTGAAAAAGGACAGTTCCCTGCTTAAAGCAGCTGAATACCACTCAGTAAAACTAAGTTACACTTTGTGCTTAAGAGGATGACAGACTCTACAATGCCCAGTTGGACAAAATGGTCAAAGACTTTTCCTCACATTCTCTACGTCCAGTTTGAAACATCTGAAATCTCGCTTATGAAAATACTGTCCATGCACACCTGTTATTGCAATTAATGTAAGTACTGTAAGATGCTAAATACTGTAAATAAATAAATATTTTTGTTAAAGATACCCAAACATCCATGCCCACAGGATTCTCAGATTGACATGCCGATTAATGGATATTTTTGATAATAATACCTTCAACCTATATGCCTAAATGCCCCTTCTGCAACATGGCCAAGCTAATACCACTACATCACAGGTATTTGTGAAGAGCTCGAGTATGAAGACAAGAGCATCGTTACCTATGAAGAATTTAACTGTTACGGAATGTAATGCTGAGTTTGGATACTACATAAAAGGTACCTTACAGCCATGCATCGAATAAGTAACATGAGAGTTACCAGTTACTGTTCAGTAAGCACTGCTCAAGATGTAGTGAATGGTGCACAGCTTGGAAGGGAGGGAGGTGGGCAGGAAAGAGAGCTAATTGTGAATCTACGTGGAATTAAATGCTATAGCTTAACGCATATGCATAATAAAGAAAAATTAAGCCTGTAAGAGTAATTTAATTATTAATTTTCCCTGTTTCCAAGAGTTGACTCTGCCAATGTTCACAATTTTTAACTTTCTGGGAGTGAGTGCTCCACAGGAGAAAAATGCTATTACATCTCTCCCAGGAGGACATGCAAAGATTACAAAATGCCACGATGAAAGTTATCTTGTTCCCACAACAACCACAGAAACAAGGACTCTTGCATCGGAGAGATAGAGAGTTGACAAATTTGAAATTATTTTCGTATGTACTGAAATAGAAACGCCAATGTCACTAAAACTAATGAAATCGGTTATTTACAAGAGGCCCAGAATTTGACATTTTACATCTTCAAAACATTTTGAATATTTGCACTATGACAGAAGATGGGTGAGAGCAGATAGCTCCAGTTATTGGCATCTGTTAACACTTTTGATAGTCTCAAACACCAAAATAGTTCCTAAGCAATGTGCCTAATAGCAACATCTGTTCCTTTCCTGATTTCTGCTCAGAGTACTGAGCAATCAGGGACGGATCAAGCTACTCATTTAAACTGAGCATTATGTAAATAAAAACAACAGTAAAGACTTAAGGTTGCACCTCATTTCCTTAAAAAATTACTTAACCTCTTGTCATCATTAGTAGCACATGCATTTTCACAAGCCACCAAGTCTAAAAATGCTGCTTATCAATTTAAAGCAACAATTGCTCTTAATAAAAATTTTGCCAAACATCTGTTTTGACTGATAGAAAGAAACATAATCCATCTTTCTGAGGCTGCCTTAAAATTCAGATTTAGGATTCTTGTCCTTTTCTCCTCTTCTCAAGAACCACGACAGTTTTCTCTGATGGGAATACATTTAATCAGCTTTGACCCATGCCAGTCAGCTAAAAGATGCTATATTTATGCAATCTAACTAAGCTTATAATTCTACGTGAATCCTTCAGGCTCCACACACTTCATGTCAAACTGCACTCTTATTATTGTGCATAGTTTGCACATTCTTCAAGCAGACCCTGCAACAGAATCCAAGTTACTGAATTTAAGGCTTCTAATAAGAAAGAAGTTATTTTTCTAACACAATGTCATTAGCAGTTGGCAGACTAAGCCAGCAATTGCATCACAGACAGCTGTACTGTACCTGCAGCTGATTGTAATCCTAATTCATGTTTACGCCCAGAGGTCACTTTCGACAATCTACCTAGTAGACAAGATAGCAGGACAAAAACAGATGCTTGCATGGATTTCATATACAGCGAGAGTCTGGATGAGCAGAAGAGCAACTGTGCCTCGAAGACCTACCATATAACAAAGATCTCTTCTCAAGAGGCAGGAGCTTGCTCAGCAGATGAACTAAAGGCTAGTCTGACAAAAGCAAAATTAGATGACCTAGGCGTTCCCATTCAAACAAAACTACTATCCTGACTACATACAGTAATCAAGGTCCTGAGGAGACTGCTCCTCTTTTGCAGTGGGCAGTATAAACACCTAGCACGGTTCTCTGAATTGTTAGCAGAAAGACAGATGACATGATTACTTGGGTACGTAGTTTACCCTATTGATTTAACATTTAAGCGACATCTGCTGCAGAAAATAAATACAATCTGATAGTTTAAATCCAGATCTTGATTAGGAAAGTACTTTCAGCTGATACATAAAAGGCATTTATATCTGTAACAGAACTCATTTATTTGCTCCCCATGTAGTAGTTTCAAATTTTTCCTCCTTTATTCTTTTTTCTAATGATCTCTGATAGAACAAACTACCCGCTTTCTGTCTGTCCCATCTCTCCCCCCATCCCCATCTCTGAATTCTTCTAGTGGAATCACGGCTTTCTCACTAACAAAGGTTTTGTGAGGTTTTGTCAGGAAAGCAAATACGTTTGAACACTGAATATTCTAAGACAATGCTTCCACTCTGACTAATAACAGGCAAAGTAAGTGCAAGGTATAAATATTGACATTGACCAAATACATGCCTCTGACAAAGAGGTTTAAAATGTCCTACTAGGGATAAGGAGCCCTTTAGATCTGTTGCTCACTTATCAGGAAGAACATCTTAATGTCAAACACAATATAAACCAAAAGGAAAGAAAGTACAGGGAGATACCAGTAAACATCAAATGGGTTCTGATAAAAAGAGTGTCTCAAGTCAATCTTATATGCACCTTTATGAGTATCTAGGAGGAGACCCGTGAACACTCTCCAGCTTGCTTTGGCATATTGTCTTGACTTGAAAGCAGCAATAGGATATGCTGAAAATAATTAAGCTTAACTACTACAAATTGAAGATTTAAAATTTTTATGTAGAGTATTCCTTGAAAATTCATAACAGATCACGGTAAGTTTTCAAACACTGTAATATGGGTAGTAGGTAATGTAAGTTTTCAACCACTGTAGGTTTTCCTTTCCCGTCACAGTATCACACATGTAACAACACAGTAGCACATTACATTCTGGAATTCCAAAAATTATGTTGTAACTCAAGATAAATGTTCTCCCCAATAAGAAAAGCCTAAAACAATCTCTCAGTGGAAAGCATGACAGGACTTTTGATATGACTCTCAAGGTTATCATAAAACCAACACAACTCATTTGTTCAAGCATATGATATGTAGTAGGTATGTCTGTCAGAATTTTAAATGCCTGCCATATGGAAAACAAAATACACAATGTTTATTGGTTTCATGTTTTTCCCCTCAATGTACTATGTAAATTTAAGATGCCATATACAAACCATGAACATTACTACCTACATGAAATCATAATTTCAAGGTTCTCAGGAAAAAAAAGAGAGGAAAAAAAGAAGATGATGAAAAAGGAAAAGAATTGACAAATTCTAGTGATTCTCTTGACTTACCATGACCTTCCTTAAGGTATAGCGTTTGGATCTAATATCATCCATTAGCATTTCATAGGGTGTGAGCTGATATTCTATTGGGAGCGGGTTGTACTGACGCTCTTGAACTTTTTTAAGTTTAACACCATTCCGTAAATCTCGCATCACTTGTACCCAAAAACGAGCCTGAAGAGAAAAGAGAAATTTTATTTGATACCTTACCCTGAATACCACATCAGATTAAAACAAAGTTGTTCATTCTCCTTTCAGGACACCACCAAATATGTACAGCTGTACTATTTTATTTTTAACACATCAACCAAAAGCCATTTTATCTGTGATTATTTTATACAAGCCTATTTTTAACCCTCATGAACATAACAAAACCTTGCTGCAACTCAGCAGGACTGCAGAGTCTCACCTCAAGTGATGTTCCTCTCCAAGATAATACAGAAAAAGGATTTGAAATTCTCTGACCATATATTTATACTTCCATTTCAAGTATACTGCAAGCATGTCAGGGAAGTTTCTAGACTTATAGCTAATACTAAAAACAGTGATTGAATCCAAAACGTTGTTTCCCTTAGGCCCAGAACTTTCTTGCAAAATTTTCCAGCAGTTGTTCTTCAAATAGAAATTTTGGAATGGACTCCAAATCCTCAGGTCTAGCAATATTCTCTCAGTACTCAACTTCCTTTTGCTCTGCCTGTAAGAGCACCACACACTAACACCTCCCTCTCATTTTCTGGGCAGAGAGAATGGCTGGAGAGAAGGAAGAACAGGTGGTGAACAGAAGATTGAGAGATTGAAATCAAGTACTTTTAAGAACTTCATAATATTCCTCTATGAACTGGCAAGAATAGTAACCAGAAAATAAAACAAGTTATTTTCTGTTAAAAGTTTCTCTGTAACATTTTTCTTTCACCATTGGAGAAACTCAGCTGGTGGCTCTGCCTACTTGCCTGGCTGTCCCAATGAAGGGCAGTCAGCATGATACCTGTTGAAAAGTCCAGTCTTTTTAAATTGCAAAAGCTTCTCTCCAAAGCCAAAGCTTTCTTTTTTCCAGAAAAAAGCCTAAAGAAAAAATTTAGTGCTTGGATACTTGTATTGTTTCACCTGTGTGTGAAGGAAGGCTGAGACTCCATTTGGAGTTGGACTCAACTTGTCATGTGTTACTGTTAATCCTTATGTTAAAAAAACCACACACTGATTTTAACATAAGACAAACAACTTTAGCTAAGCATTATAAAGAAATATAAACTACTAGTAATGATGCTGAGTCACTATTGAATTGTTATCTTACCCAGTCAGCATTTTTTAAGTCGTCAAGATCTGTGCTGGATTCATCACTTGCCTCTTTGTCCATTTCTTGAATCTTCTTCAGATTCTGCCAATGAAAAGAAAAAGAGTTGATAAATGAGTGGTGGTATTACTCTCAAGTAAAACTGAATCTTAATTTTGGATGTCTGTTAAATTACGTTGTTTAAGTATTCTACTGAATGTTTTATGGCTTGAATAGCAATACTGTAAAAGTAACTTGAAATACTATTTGAGTGTATTTTTCTTATTTGAAAAGTGGACCTTAAATGCTGGGAGAAAATCTTAAGTTTTGAGTATGAAAGTACTTCAGATAATTGCATGCCAGAGGAAAAACTATAGAAATTTTAAATATACCTAACTATATAACTTACTATAGAAATTTTAATATACCTAAAATTGGCATATACATAGGAAAAAACCAAACAAACCCAGCAGGTCTGTTAAGCTACAACACTGAAAACCTTACCAACTTTGTAAGGATCCCATTCATACCAAAATTACTGTTTGTTGAATTCGAGACAGCTCATTTTTGTAGGAGAAATTCCCAGAAAGTTAGTTGTGAGGAGAAATAAACTATGAGAAATCCTTTAAACTGAATAGTGACAGCTCTGCATATATATTGACATTAAGTAGTCTGTATAACATAGTTACAGATCCTGAAATCTGAGTAATAAAATCATGTAAGGAAGAAAAACAGATCTTTCAAAGTTAGAAAATGCTACTTATGAACAAGATCAGATCATGCAAATATGGAAAAGATTGTCTGCAAAGGGGCAAAAAAACAGCTTTCATACTAACAAGAATATGAAAAATGATTAAAAGTTACAACAGACCAAAGAACAGGCAAGCCTGCACACAGACAAATGCAAGTGAAAGGCTGTGGCTTTACAGAAATCATTTTATACACATATGCATATTCAAAATGCTATTTTTTTGTTTAATTCTGTATTGAAATGTCCTGGAATCAGCAGTACAAACAAATTCTCAACACTCACTTTTACAGAGAGTTTTCCAGGAAATCTTTGACAATGTTTAATTTGATCTGTTATTCTAAGTGCTCACTAATGCATTCAAAATGGGTGGTTAAATCCTCTGCTAACTAATTGTTTATTTTATGAAACTAAAGCAACAGGTCAGAGGCCAGACAGATGTATTTATTTATCAAAAATCTTCTTCTCACTTTTTAAGCACCCAAGCTCTTCCTGAAAGGAGGTTGTGCTGAGGTGGGTGTTGGTGTCTTCTCTCAAGTAACTAGCAATAGGACGAGAGGAAATGGCCTCAAGTTGCGCCAGGGGAGGTTTAGGCTGGATATTCGGAAAAATTTCTTTACTGAGGGAGTGGTCAGGCATTGGAACAGGCTGCCCAGGGAGGTGGTGGGGTCACCATCACTGGAAGTATTCAAAAAACGTGTAGACGTGGCACTTCACGACATGTTTTAGTGGGCATGGTTGATGGTTGGACTTGATGATCTTAGAGGTCTTTTCCAACCTTAATGATTCTGTGATTCTGTGATTTAATGGAACTGAACAATCAGTCTCAATTTAGCTTTTGAGCTTCCCAGAAAACTTAAAAAGAAGCATATTTTGTAAAAAAAAATTTTCCTGGAAGTAGTTCCAAAACTGCCAACATTTCAGTGGAAGAAATGGAAGCACTGGAAGAGTGCTTAACCTGCACATTTAACAGAGTGTGAGTATCTACCAAACCTGGTTACAGAGATAGCACATGTGAGTCAGCCACCACAGAGGTTTTGGAAAGAGAGCAGATGGGTTATTTATTGTCTTATTTAAGTAACACACTTGATTTCATATCAAAGAAGAAACACTACCATTGAGCTATAAAAATAAAATACAGAATTTACAGGAAGACTCTAAAAAAAACCCATAAATCACCCACACTACAGAAGCAAATATATCACGGGACAACATGGGAACATTTTAGCATGACCTGCAGTATCACCACAGGATACCCAATTGGGAAAGAACATCTTTATGGAAACTTGTATTGGTCCTGTCACTGCAGTCAGCATTCAGTCGGACACTTACAGGCAATCACCCTTTTCCAAGGGGAAAAAAAAAAAAAAGAAAAATTGAAAGAACGAGTAACATGAAGGCCTCGCTTATGTGTATTTTGCCATCCAGGGTTTCTTCTTTGCTGTATCATATAGTTGCAGTAATCATTTCAAATGCAGTATCTATGAACTGTAAATTATTTGCTTTCTTGCAAACTGCTAACATTTATTGATAAACTGCAAAGTATAAAATCATTCTGATACTTTCTCCTTTTTCTCTTTGTAATCAAAAAGCTAACTTCAGTAAATGAGCTCACAACTGTCAGATTTGCTCCTCCTTTCCATACTGGAAGGTATACATTAATTTTTAAAAAATTAACATGTTCCAGCTGCTTAACCTTCACTTTGACTGTTCAACAAGATTTGTGGCAATTACCCATCTCAGCAACCATGTTCCTTACCGTACAGTTTACTGGGCTGGTTTATGCCCAAAGGCTCATGCCTTTGACTGACATAAATATTCCATGAAGCTAAAAAGATTACAACCTGTTTTTCTTAACAGCAGAAAATAAGAAGGGGGGAAAAAACCCCAACCCTGAACAGCTGAAAGATTTTCCAAATAAGGCAACCATCTAATTAGTTTCTCTGGAACATAGCTAGAGGGGGAGTTTCTGCCCGAGAAAGCACAGGTGTAAGTGGTGTGGGCTACACTGGAGAGTTGCAAGAGCAAAAGCCAGCAGCCAAGAGATAAGTCTCTCAAAGTGCAGTTTTATGACCCAAATGAGCTGATACAAGCGCAGGCTAGTGCCAAAGCTGGGCTCCTACTCTTCCCCAACCCAGCCAACAGCTCCAGCTGCTTCCCTCATACCAGCAGAGACCCACACTTTGCAGGGATAGTTCGCTCCCCTCCCCAGCACCCGGCTCACACCCCTAGATGCAGCTCACCATGCAATTAGTGGGGAACGGAAGGAAAGGATTTAAATCATTATAGAAGTGAGAAAGCTTTAGGAATTGGGGAGAAAAAGCAGCAGCAAGTGCTTGTATCCGTGCAGTCAGTGCTTAAGGCAGGCTGCTTTAACCCTTCTCCATCTGTCAGGTGCTGCTTAGGAAGGAATAAATTCACTGTGACAAATGATTACATTTAAACTTCTAGACTAAATGAAATGTTATCATTTCCCTCCAGCACCCCCAGCCAGCATCAGTGGGTTTCGCATCTCTTTCGATTGTAAATTATAGAAACCAACACATTTACAATAGAAGAGACCATTTCTCAGAACTTAACCGTGATCCAAAACCTGCAAGTAACCTCAGTGGCTGTAGCCACTTGTTCTTACCCTTGGGACAACGGCTTAAGAAAAGCTATTACAGTATAATATATGGTCTAAATGAGTTTCCATTTCAGAAAGCAGAAACATCATAAAAGGGTTTTTCTAAACGATCCCAGAACCTCAGACCCATACCACAGACCTGATTTACCTATTACAGCCTGGGCGTACATTCAGGAAATAAGGGTCAGATATGTAGGAAGTGAGTGTTTCAACAGCTTTGGCTTTTTTTAAACCATTAAAGCATTTGGTCATTTTTTTAAAAAAAACCTGCGGTTTGTGACACAAGCTAGTAATAAAAACACCAAACGTCTTGCTGCACTATTAAAAGCAGGCAGTTGATTTGCTGCTGCGTGTCCCACATTTGAGACACGCTCTCCTGTGCTCGGTGACAGATGGGAGTTTATATAAGGCACTTGTCAGCACAGCGTCAAAGACTGATTTCCACAAAATGCTCTCTAAAACACAGCATTTTAATGAAGATGGTATTCTTGGGAATCCAGAGCTGGACTTTGTCTTTCACCAGTTGCAGAACACAGTCTACTGCAGTTCCCCGTTTATATTCTTAATTAGGAGTCATTTGTTCACTGATGCAAGTAATTCTTACGCTGCTATCTGCGAAACTAATAAAATGTTCTTGCACCTTTTAAAAATTTAAAAATATTTTTTTAAATTCAATTTAAAAGTATATAATTTAAAAAATATATAACCTGGACATCGGGGAAAAACTGCTTTTATATATTCAGCTATCCAACTTGGGTTTAAATTCCAAGGGCTTGGCCAGCGGCATTACTCTAGTCTTTTGAAAAGACCCAAACCCCATTTAATTCAAACATGGGAATAGGATCAGTTAAATCAGTCCCTGAAAAACCTCTTCTGTGGATATCAGACAAAGTTCTTCAGCTGTAGTGGTATGGGTCAACGCACGCCCCTCAGCTCTAGAAAGGGCAATAGTCACCCTGCTGCTCAACATAACTGTTTAAGAAGCAGCAAAAAAACCTCAAACCAAGTGCATGTAACATTTCTTGAATGACAGTGCCTGCATCACTTAAGAAAAACAAAAAACAAAACAAAAAAACCCCACAAAAACAAACCAGCAGCCTTTTCCCTTATTGAAGTTCCTAAATTGAGGGATTAACATGATGCGGCTGCAAGCCTGACAACACCACAGTTGCAAACGTGGAGTCACTGGAAGCCTGGAAGTATAGGCAAAAGTGAAGTTATGTGCAGAAAAGTTTATGAATCAATTTCTTTCTCCAGCTGTGCTTTCTGACAATCCAAGCAGCAGGGTATTTAACAGCTTTTACAGTCACAAGACTATTAAGAGTAACTTGGCTAATGACCGTATTTCCAAAATAAGTTAGCCATTAACATTGTTTAGGTACCTATTAACTACCTCTATTATCATATTTTGTACAAATAATACACCAGTATAGCCATGTTAAATGGAAAGTAACACTTTTTTAATTAACTGTTTTCCAATGGCATCTTTGCATGGCATGAAACTAGGAAAAAAAGAAAGGAACTATTTCATTTCTACTCATGTACTTAATTAGAATTTGTATGTTTACATTTTCATACAGATCAGATTGAAATACATCCAGGCAGACTGAAAGAATTATGTTTTTACATCAGAAAGGACAGAAATGAAAGGCAACATGATTTAAATGAACAGTATGAAGATGTTAGATTGGGAGCTTTATCTGTATTCTACCAAAAACTTAACTACAAGGC